AACATGTTGATAAAAATTTTTAACCAAATGAGCTGCAACTGCAAATTTTCAGCTTATAATATTCTTAATTCTTAATATTCATAATATGAAATTCTTTTATTGACCCAGTATTTTCTGATGTCATTCCAAAGACATATTTGCTACTGAGGTTACAAGTTTTGTGTTTTTTAAAATATTTTTTTGTATGAAATCATACTATGCCTCTCTCCTGCCTACCCCTCAGCCCAAAATCACAAATAAGAGAGGTTTAGTAATTAAGATAATCTTTTCATAGGAAGAATTTGTTAATTTTTCAGAGGATATATTTGATTATTCTGATGCCCTGAAACTGCGCAACTTAGGAAGGCACTAATAAGCTATGAAACAAAAGCGAGAATAAGGGCTTAGGTTATTTTTTCCTGTTCAATGAAATACTCTGAGAATTTTATTTGTTTATATGCCATTAATAAACCGCTAAAGTTTCTAAGGGGAAAAAAACACATAGATCGTTCAACGGCCATTTAAAATGAACGCAAAAATTGTAAATTCCATAGACTTTTTGATGGTCAAACTCTGTATTAACATTTGCTTCCTAACGATGGTGTGCCATGGCAGAATGCTCTAATTCCTGCAGGTTTTGGCAGATGAATAGAGAAATGGGAAAGGTCATTGAGCTGACATTCAGAGATGGCTTGAAATGAATAAATTGTTTGTGTCCCACATAGAAAAGAAGACAGAGAATACACTTGTGAGAATAAAGACATAAGGTGTAATTTTGGCAGGCCCAAAATGTAAACAAAAATAAACCAAAAAAAACTAGCCCTCAAATAACATTGTTGAAATGCTGCTTTATTTTTTTCAGAAACAAAGAGCAAATTGTCATATAAAACAATAGGTTAATTCCATAGTATTATATTTGGCAAAAGGGTTCATCGGTGCCTGGAAAGAGCAAGAAGGTTGTTTAACGTTTGTTCTGTTGTTGTTTTGGCCAGTCTTTCCTCCTCCACAGATGTAGCAAACTACTTGTCCTGTCGCCCCCCCATCCCTCCGTCCACCTCTTCTAATGCCCCATTATTCAGTGGGTGAGGTGAAGTGCTCGAGGCAGGTAAGGAAAAGTTCCCTTCCCTTTCTCTTGCCTCAGGCCCCGAGGACAAATGTATAATCCTGATGCTTTAATAAAATTCTCCGCCTAAGTAATAATAAAGAGCACTGTACCTCAATGGACGGAAGGTTGGATGGTGCTGAGTAACCCCTGGCAGAGGTGCTTTGCTTAACCAAGTGCCCTCAGTGTCTTACCCTTTGGTGCCTCCCGGAAATCATGTGAGGTGAGCAGGGGAAGTTTATTTCTTCCTTTTTTTTTTTTTTTACCAATAGGAAAAGAGGCTTAAAAGTGTTAAGTGATTTGCCCAATGTCACTCTGGGCCAGCTCTTGGGCCCACATTCTGGGTCCCCTGCCCATACTACCTCTGTAAGCTGTCTCCACTGAGGAGTTTCACTAAAACAGTATATATGAATTACAAAAAAGGAATAAACACTTCGTGATTTTCATGGTAGATAGCAAGATCTGTATATACTGAGTACTAGTCAGGACAGTGAATTATATAAAAAATAGATCCATAAGACAAAAAGAGAACTTAATTAATACTGAATTACTTTTAAAGCTTAATTGTAACAGAAAAACAATTCAGTATGAATCTTTTTAAATGAAATGCATTTATTCACTTAATTATTTGCCCCCAAATATTATTGAGTAGCCTACTGTGTTATGAGCCATGCACTGTGGTACTATGGATATAACAGAAAACAAAGAACAGTCTGCCTTCAAAACACTCCATTCAGCAATGAGATGTACATACAGAAAGGAGTTATTAAAGTATCAAGCACAGGTCTGTGAGAACCTAACTTAGTCAGGGGTGGGGTCAGGAAAGCATCCCTCAAAAAAAGGCAATTAAAGTAAAATCAAAATAGAAAAAGGAAGAGCTTAAGCAAAACAGGAGGAAAAGGCAGAGAGGACAGAGCACAATGGAAGAGCATTTCAGGAAGAAACACAGTGTGGAATATGGATAATGTGGAGCCGAGTGAAGCAGATGCCATCACCCAAGGACAGGGCTCAGGGTGAGAGAAGAGCCCACAGATCAAACACTGTGGAACTCCAATGTTTGTTACAGTTGGTGAGGTTAAGGAGAAATAACCAGAAATATTTTATGGCTTTACCATATATTTTACTTTGCACTGAACTCTCTGTTCCTCAAACCGGAGTCTAAAATGGCATTGAGTATACCGTTTTTACTTTCTGAAATGCAGTATTCTGGAATGCAAAAACTCATCCATAGATACCTTCTCCCTACCAGACCCTTTCACCTACGTCCTCACAAAAACCTTCATCAAATGATATACTGTCTGTTTTTTACCAAGGTTTAAAGAGATTATTATTTTCCAAGCATCCAGGATGGCTGATCCAGAATTAGGATCCAGATTTTAGCATTCTTTGTCCATTGCACTTGCCAGGATGCTTATTAAGATCCACCTGTGTGCCAATAAACAAGACAGATAAGTCCCCTGTCTTCATGGAAACTATACTAATAAACAGATTAATGTCATGTCATTTTTTTTCCTTAGAGTTTCCATTTGCTTTGTAGAAAAAATTTTATTACCCAAGAAATGAAATGAAGTGCTCAGATTTGGACTCCCATTTCTCTGGTGTCTCCTGTGTCCATTTCCCTTGTTATTCTGATTGCCTGGTGCTCTCTCCCACATCACCGTGGGCAGTGTGAACAAAGGATGGCAGGAAAGGTATCAGTATTTTGTGCATATTGGTGGGTTAGGATAGTTGCCTTTTCACACCTTCATACAAAGGTTTTCCAATGTGCTATCATGTTTTGGGGCATGGCTACATGTGATTCCCAAAGACTGTAACTTTTAACGTCCAAAGTTATATTCCATCAAAACCTTTCAGTGTTGAGAACAAGAACTTCCCTAGGGTAAAGCTCAGAGAATAAATCCAGTTATGCTTCTAGCTTCTAGCCCATGTTTTGTATTTAAAGGGGCCTCAGAGACCTGAAAGACGAATTGTCCCTCCTGACATGCCTGTTTTTCATCCTGCTTGTAGGAGAGAAAGGGGGTTCTTGGCAACCATCCTCCAAATCAAACCCTATAAATAATCTGGCCCATTTATTCTGTGTCGTGTTCTAGGAGTTAGTGGACACCTGGGAAGAAGAAAAGTAATGCACTAAAAACATAAAAGGTGGCAGGTCAGGTTGATGCAAAATGTAAAAACAAACCATGAAACTTTCCTGAAAACAGAAGTTAAGAGGTTGGCAGGGCCCTTTCTGCTACTGAAAATGCATAGCAACCTCCAAACCTGTAAATAATCTGTCCATCCTTTGTAGGAAGAGAGGTGGGGGTGAGGGTTATCTCACATTCCAGAATTCTGAAGGACAGCAGGGTGCAATGCATTGGACAGATTAAATGGAATGAGAGCCCAGAGAAAGGCAGACCACAGAGTGCAAAGAGACAGATGAAGAAACTGGAAGCAGCAGGGGAAAGGCAGGAAGCATGTTGTTACAGGGGCTGCAGAAACAGTGGCCTGTTATCGGGGGGTGGGTGTCTCAGGCAGAGTGGATATGGCAGTTGCAGCTCCAAGGCTGCAATTCAGCCCCCTGACTGGCAAAGGCATGTCAGCCCTCTAGCTTGGCCTCCAGGCGGCCAAGGGAGCAATGGCGACCCAGAGAGAAAGGATAGCTTCCTGTTGGTTTCTCAGTTTGTGAAACACCTGCTGCAGAAGCACTGTGGAGAGCAGGGTGCAGAGAACTAGTAAAACATGGATCCTTGGAACCCAATCCGGGCAGGCAGAATCTCTTGGGATCCCGCTTAGGATATTTGACAAATGCCCTCGATGAGCCTCATGAACAATTATGTTTAATAACCACTTGCCACGAAGATAAAATTGGGTGGCCAGAGCCTTTTGTCTACGGACTGCCCAAGGCTATCTCTTGGGCACAGCACCCCAAACAGAGCTGTCTGGACCTAACAGACCCGTAGTTACAGAGATCTCAGATTCCTTCCTGATGAGAAATCACACCAGGATATCTCCATGTACCATCCCTGAAGGTCAGGCCACAGCCTCCGACCATACACAGCTTCAGAGGCCGTTGTGTCATGTTCTCATGGTCAATAGCATCTTCATCAGAGCAGCTTTCAGACCCCAGGATGGAACTAAAAACTGCCTGGGAAAAGAAAGAGGGAGAAAAGCCCTGAGAAATCACAGTCAGCCAGACAACGCTCAAGCCCCTCATCTGAAAGCAGCATGCTAGGTGCCGAAGGCAATATACTGCATGCTCCCTCACAGAATTATTTCAAGTTGTAAGCCTAAAAGTAAATTTGTGAGGAAATTTCCTGAGAAGTCAAAAAGTTCTGATTAATTAGAGATTCCTATATGTGTTCACTGAATTTATATTTTCCAACAAGATAAGCCAGACTAAGTAAAAATCATTTTCAAAGTCAGGAATTCATACAGAAATCTCCAGTTAAACACACCAAGCATCGGCCTGCAGAATAAAAACTGAACTGGAAGCACTGTCTCCTTCCTGGTAACCCTTGCCTCTGACCGCTGACCCCTTCTCTCCGGGGGGTTGCTGAGCCGAGGTCCTAGCTCTTTCCTTTCAGACGCTGCCCGCCTAGGAAGCCCCCGGCTGCACCGGGCCGCCCGCGCGCCCGCAATACCGCCAGCCCTCGCTCCTGTGTTTGCGTCTATCCAGCTGTTGCACCCCCAGGTCGGCTCGGCACTGCTGCAGGTTCCCCATAAATACTCATCCCTATTACTATCCCCTTTGGCCATTTTCGTGGAAACGATGAAGGCCAGATACAAGAAAGCGGACTTGCACGCGAAACAAAACAGGCGCGCAAATGCCCTTTGCGCGGTCTCCATCGGGGGTCCCGGGGCTGCCCGGGCCCCGTGACCCCCCCGCCAGGGAACCCGCGGGGCCTCGCTGAGTCACCTCTCCTCTCCCTTCTCTCCCCAGCTCCAACGGCAAGTCGGTCACCTGGGCGCAGAACGAGAGGAGCAGCCGCGGGCAGCACCTGTGGCAGCGGCTGTCCATCCACATCAACCGGAAGGAGAACCCCAACCAGACGGCGGTCATCAAGCCCTTCCCCAAGAGCCCCGAGAGCCGC